TTCTTTTTTTTNTTTTTTTTTTTCTTGTCTCTCATCAACAAAATTCTCATCCATCTCTCGAGAAACGTTTTATTTAAACGTACAAAAGTTTCGAACTGGTCGCGTACGTTTTTTGTTTTTTTTTTTTTCTTTTTTGTTTTTTTTCTTCTCTCGAAAAAAGAACTCTTAAAACGATATTATTTATGGGACTTGAAAGGGGGCGGGCGAGTGGGAGGGAAACAATATAATCCGTGGAATCCGTACAGCTTCTCGAGACGCTTCGTTAAGACGCGAAGGGAAACGACGGCGAACAATCGGCGAACAAAATCGTCGCGTCTTCGACGAACCAAGTCGAAGTGAGGACAAGTTTCGCGAGAGAAGCAACGGGGAAGACGAACGAAGTATCATCGCGTAATACTGTTAAACGAGTCGAGTTCGCGAACTCGACTCGAAATCAACGTTTTCCAACGCGAAGGACGACGAGGCGATTTACCCACCCCCCCCCTCCCTCCCTCCCAAAAAAAAAAAAAAATACCAAATTTCCTCGTCCTCGATTTTATCGGAGACGAATCGGACTTTCCCTTCCCTTCCATCGTTGTCCTCCTCGCGTTCCGTCATCGTCGTCATCGGGACCTCGCAACCTCCTCCTCCTCCTCCTCCTCCTCCTCCTCCAGCACCTCCAGATCCCGAAACCGTTGGTCGAAGCTGATCGCCCTCCACCACCTCCCGCCGTCGGAATCGGCGGTCATCCACCCGGCCGTCGTCATTCGGCCTTGATCGTCGCCGAAGGGGAGGCCAACTCCCGAGCGAAGGTGGGGCTGTCCTCGCCCGGGAGGAGGCCCGGCTCGCTCTTAGGCGTTTGAACGTCGGGGAAACGGGCGTGGGTCCTCAAGTGCCTGGTGATCATGTCCCGTCTGCACGCGGCGTACGCGCACTGGGGACATTTGTACGGCTTCTCGCCCGTGTGCGTCCTCTGATGGGTGCTTAGATGGTCCGACCTGCTGAATACCTGGCCGCAAACCTTGCACGTGTACGGTTTCACGCCCGTGTGCAGCCTCATGTGGCGGGTGAGCATGTCCGACCTGGCGAAACTCCTCTTGCACACGTCGCACAGGTAGGCCTTGGCGGACGCGTCCTGGGGCCCCTGCCTCCTGTGCCTCGACGCCATGTGCTTGGCCAACCGGTCGTGCAGGCTGAACATTTGCCCGCACACGGGGCACACGTACGCGACGTCCGCCCCGGGCGGCATCTCCTCCACCACGGGCGACACCTCGAGGTTGTATCTCACGGCCACGCTCTCCTTGGTCGTGGGCGACGCCACGTCCCCCTTCACCACGGGCACGCTCACCGAGCCCCTCGACACGATTCCGGGCGGGAGTAGCTGGAGGGCGGGGGGCCGGCCGGAGACGGCCGCGGCGGCGGCTGCGGCGGCGGCGGCCGCAGCCGCCGCGGACGCCATCAGGTTCTTCATCGAGAGGTCGAGGGGCGACTCCTGGGGGCTGGTCGTGTCGCTGTCCAGGAAACCGCTTCTCAACGGATGGTGGTTCACGAACACGGACGACGAGGCGGCGGCCGAGAGGGGCGGCTTCTGCTCCCATCCCGGGACCAAGTCCGAGTCCGAGTGGCTCCGGCCCCTGAATATATCCGGCAGGTACTTGGTGTGCATGTAGTGCTCGAAACTGTACGACGAGAGGGATCCTGGCGTTAACGGGGGCAGGGTGAGCGGGGTCAATGGGGTGAGGGGGGTGAGCGGGGTTAGGGGGGAGGTGGGGGACGGGAGCACCATGGGGGGAGTGGAGGATTGGGAACACTGGACGCAGGTGCAACCCGCGTATTTCGGCGCCGAGGATCTTTGATGATGAGGGGGATGATGGAGGTGGTCGTACGCCGGGTGATTGGCGTTGTTCCGCGAGTGATGATGCCTGTGCCGGTGGCGATGGTGGTGCGAGTGATGATGCGAGTGATGATTGTTATTATTCTGTTGTTGCTGTTGCTGCTGTTGTTGCTGTTGCTGCGCCCCTTCGCCGTTCTTCTTCTTCTCCTCCTCCGCCTCCTCCTCCTCCTCCTCGTCGTTTACGTCGTCGTTGTTGCTATTGTTGTTGTTGTTGTTGTTGTTGTTGTTGTTGCTGGCGGTGATGGTGGTGGTGGTGGTGGTGGTGGTGGTTGCGGCGGCGGTCGACTCGTTCGCGTTCGACTCGTCTCGTTGCTCCTCGGCGGTGGGCGTGGCGGGCTCCTCGCTCTTCAACCTGAGGGGTAGCAGACTGATGCCGGACGGTGGATCGGCGGCCGATCTGGAGGACGACCTCGGTGAGCCGAACACGTCCTCCTCCTCCTCGGATGCGGGGCCGCTACCCTCGAACCTCAACACCTCGCCCTCGGAGGGCGAGCTCCGGTGTTGGAGGATGTCGAGGACCTGGTCGAGCCGTTTCCGCCGGCGGAGGTTGCGGTGATTCCGGTTGGCCGTCGCCGCGAGGGTGTTGTTGTTGGTGCAGGAGGGCGGTGGCGGCTTGGCCGGACCCGGGGGCGCGGCTGCAGCGTCCTCCACGGCGCTCTCGGCCATCGTCATCGAGGATGCGCGGCACCCGCCGCCTGGGCCCTTTATGCCGCCTACTACACCCTCGGCTACCACCGTACTGCCTCCCACCTCGTCCTGAAACACAAACCAAACCGCGCGCCGCTTTTACTCCCACTCCTCTTTTCCTCCTCCTCCTCCTCCTCCTCCTCCTCCTCTGTTCTTATTATTATTATTATTATTATCGTCGAGAACGAAGTGATCGAAGGATCGCGGGATAATTCGCGGTCGATCGTCGTCCCTCGATCCCTCGTCTCGCGCGCGCACACGCCGCGTCCCGACGGATTTTGTTTCGATTTCGATTGCCTCACCGCTTCGTCCACGCAACGAAGAAGGGACGCGAGCAGGAAACAGGAAGGGAGCGGCCGAGCTTTGTCGTATCGGCGATCGAGCGGTGATCGGGGATCGTAGTCCCAACCGGGGACGGAGGGCGAGGTCCACCGTCCGCCGAGGCCCGTCTCACGGTCCCAATAAATCACGATTAACGCGTTCCCACTTTTTCCCCGGCGAAACGTAGGAGGTAGAGGTTGGCCGTCTGTCATCGAGAATCTACTACGGATCGTAGCCATGGATCGGAAGAAAGTAAGACGATCGCGGGATCGACTGGGCTCGCGCGAGATGGCGTCCTCGACGAGAGAGAGGAGGGGGAGAGCGAGGATCTTGGCCGAAAAGGTGGTGCTAGGTTCGGGGCGAGGCGGAGCGCACCACTCGTCTTGTTCCACGCGACAACGGCACTTTGTCATCAAACGGACCACGCGAGATGTATCCGGCGGACTATTTGAAATTTAAATGCCGGCGAGGGCATGAATCAACTACGTGCTCGACGAATCGAGCCAAACCCCCGCGTTTCTTCCGTGTAGGAGACTTCCTTTCCCTCCCGTCCGAGAGAAGTTGCACGAGTTCCCGTCCCGTAAAACTTGTAATATCGCTTGCCGCGCGTCCCCGAATAAAAATTGATCGCCACGCAGGGATCGTCGTGCTCGTTGTGCGACACAACTCGAATTGTTTATCGGCAACGCGCCGAAATTACACAAAGTTTATACGAGAAGGATATTGCGGGGGAGGAGGGAAAAAAAAAAGTAAAATAAATTTCCGGTTCCTTCTTCTGGCAAAAAGGAAAGGATTATCCCACGTTCGTTTTATCTTTACAAAGTTAGAAAATCAATCCGAAAGAAACAAGCTCATTTAACCGGACAGTTTATCGAAGCGGCAGTTTATCTCGTGATAATTTCGTCGTAGCGAAAGAGTCGCGCCGGATCGTATCCTTTTTCGACCATCGGCGCCCCTTCCAATACAAGCTCGACTCGGAAACGTGATTTTCGAGCGGAATAGAAATTCGCGTTCTCGGAAGGCCGCGGCACACATGTCCCGGCGACGAATACTTTCGATCCGAGCCTCCGCCGCATTCCGACGCGTACAACAGCGCAGTTTACCGCTGTTTCGAATCGATTCCCGTGCTCCTCTCGAATCCTTTCCTGGCGTGGCCTGGCCCCGATGCCTGGCAAACTTGCGCCAATTGCGCCCCGCTCGATTATTGCGCAGCAATGCGCGACACGCTTCGAATGGCCTTCAATTCTCAACGCCTCCTCGAAATTCTTCTCTCGAGTCGTGGAGAAGGGGTTCGATCGCGTTTTCGCGAAAAACGAAAGTAATATTTCGCGTCGAACCGCAGTTCCTCCGTCCGTCCGTGTGCGTACGAACGCTTCCTCTTCGCGGGAAAGATCGCGACATCCGGAGGACGTCGAGAGATTCACGGCGGTGTTTCCCCCTCTTTCCACCACGATCGTCTTCTCGTTTGGCCGGTGTGTACCGGTCGGTAGAATCTCGCCGAGAGAAAGGGCCCCGATGATCGGTCGTAAAACGTAAAGGGGACTCGTAAACGGAGTGAAAAGATGTCAGAACGTAAAAGCCGAGAACAGGTCCCCGACGAGGAGGAGGTGTGGGCGTGCGTGGCTGCCACCATCTTCCTCCTCCTTCTTCCTATTTCTCTCCCCGCTCTAGTCCCGTCTTCGCGAAGAAGAGGAAGAAGAAGGAAGGAGGATTGTCCCGTGTAATAAGATTCTCGACGAGAAGAATTTCCCGAAATTCGAGGCTCTCGAGAAGGAGGCGATCTAATTGATAGAAGAGAGGAGAAATCGCCTCGGTTTTCAAGCTAAAGAACGACGAGTTGGAAGGCGAACCTTGACGAGACGAGAGTTTGCGGGAGAAGGAGATCATCGGTGAAGAATTCCAGCAGGAATGCCCTCGGGGAGGCACCTGTAACCGCGGCTTCTCCACGGGAGAAACAGAACAGGTTGAGACATGGGCGTGGGTGGAGCGCTTGATCTTTCTCTCCCGCTGACCATACACTCGCGATGGCTACGAACGTCTCGCGATTCCTTTTCTTTCTTTACTCGCGAAACTTGCTCCGATCCGAAAAATTTTCTCTTTGCATATATATATATATATATAATAAAATATCGTGATCGTAGAAAAAACAGCGTACAACCAAATAAAAAAAAAAAAAAGAAAATTCCGATTCCAGGTGCACGAGTTCTTCGCGAAGAAAACTTTCCCTCCTGACCTTAATTATTGTCCTCGAGTCGAGTCTCCACATTATCGAATCGTCCCATCCACTTTACTCGGAACGAGAGCGGTTCGAAGCCGTCGCTAGCGCTCGATCGTCGATCCAGAGCGTTCGGAAGGAAGGAGCGGCCTGAGGGCAGCGCTCGGCTCGCTCCGGCAAACTGCTACCAAAAAACCAGACGGGCTACCGAAGAGAAGCCGATCGTTCCGAGCCATCTGCATGCAGGGGTCCGCGTATGTACAGCCTTGGAAACAGCGAGCGCTTCGTTGTTGGAAAAACAGCGAGGGAGGACGCTTTAAAAATCTCTCTCGTTTCCAATCTCGTTTCCAGGCTATCGATCGTCCGCCTGCTCGCTCGTCCTCCGAAAGGGGAGTGGTAGTAGCTCCGCTCTATTTTCCACCGGGGCAGGGAAGAGAAAGCGCGGAAGGGAGAAAAATGTACGTGGCGTGCAGGATCGCACACCTCCTCCTGCTTCCTCTTCTCCTTTCTCTTCGAACGAGAGAGAGAGAGAGAGAGAGAGAAGAAGCGGAGGAAGTCGCGAGTGTCGCGCGACAGATTTTATCGTTGCGCCGGAAAATTACGGGTTATCGGCGTGGTGATTAACGAGCCTGCCTCGTATATCGGACGGTAATTAAACGCGCGGTAATTTGCGCGCCGCGCCAACTCGGTTGACAGGCCAACTAGGGTTGATTTAAGGAGCTGCGCGAACCTTCCCTCGTTACCGTACGCGTTAAAACCTCTCCGTTCTCCTACCTTCCTGTCGAACGAGTCGCCAGGATGTTTCGTAAATTCTTCCACGAAATTCTGCTTCTTCCAAGCTTTCCTCGAAAATCCTTTAATCGCGCGACTCGTATCGGCCGATAAATAAACCCGAAGATGCAGAAAACTATCGACTATCGTAGTTAACGTCAGCCGGGGATGGTTGTAGGGATTTTACAAGGCTCGCTGTCCCTTTTCGTCGCGAGTCTTCTTCTTCTTCTTCCTCTCCGCCGAAAACCTGTCGGTCGAACGGTTCGACGGAAATTCCCTCCGTTTACGATTTTACGGAAATATGGAACGGATTGTTAACCCCTTCCCTACGAAGAGTCTGAAGTGATGAAGATTCGAAGATCCAAACGATACGAATAGCACGAGCAACTGTAAATAATCGAGCCAAACGTTACGAGCGAGAACCGTGAAATGAGAAGATCACGATTCTTATAACTCGTAGGACTCTTGCGAGGCAAACGTGCTTTTGTACTCGAGTTTTTCGACTAAGATTTGATCATTTTCGAATAAAAACCCTTGCGTAATATAAAGCGTCTACACCTAATGCGGGACTATTAATTTTTAGACTAAAAGTATATCTAGATATCGACTCGAGATGAGCATTTCTTGTTTATAACGTGCTATTTATTTTTAGGCGTGGTATTATTACATTTCCGTTAAAGCATTCCTATTTACGAAATATACTTTTCAAACTGTTATTTGTCATTTATCAAAAAAAAAAAAAATAGACTTATAACACACACACATATACATATATATATATATATAAAAGCAAAAAGAATTATTATTTACGTCCACAAGAGGTGCGTCGCAAATGACTGTATCACGTTTATCTCTATACCTATATTTCGACTCGTATCGCAACAAATGTTTTCGAGCGTTCAGCCCTGTCGTTCCGATTTCGTCGAGGTACGATTTTGCTTGTGCGGAGAGTCATCGAGGACGCGAACCATTTCCTCCGCGCACAGCAAACGCAAAACAATTCGTTTAAGAAATCGGATCGGATATCGGTGGCGAGCAACGAGCAACGAGGCGATCTAGTTAGCGCGATCCGTCGTTCCGATTGGCGTGTAATCGATTGGTCGGCGGCGGGTGGGAATTCGCTGAATCATCCGCCGCTCCATGATAACGGCCGATGCCCTTCGCCTTTTCGCGCTCCCATCTTATCCATCTCTTAATAACACGTCACGTTTCTCCGCTTTAACGAAGCGACCGTCGCCCCTTTCCTTCCACCTCTTCCCGGGAGATCGCCAAGTTCCAAAGCGTGGTGACAATCGTCGAAGGACGAAAAAGTGTACATCATGACGGTTAAAGAAAAAAAGCTTTACAGCTTAACAGCTTTTCTTCGAGCGCGTTTTTCCCCGTCCATTTACACATTTTTGCCGCATTTTACGATGCTCTTTTACAGCCTGTTCGAGTTTCTCTCTCTCTGTGTATATTTATCGCTCCGATATAAGAGCGATCGTGATGGAAAATATCTCGATCTAATTCGAGAAAAAAGAACGACTCGAAAATCGTTAAAATAAACCGCGAAATAATTATTCCATCTCTGAAAACGCGTTCGATCCCTCTTACTCGATCCAACCAATCGTATTTCAACGCCGCAAAAGTAGACACGTTCTTGTTTAGATTGCCACGGGATTATTTATATCCGGCGCCCCGAGGAAGGAAGGAGGGGAAGTTGTCGTGGCTTCCAGTTGAAACAACGATCGTTCGACAACTCTCTGGCAAATTTTTCCAGACC